AACGATAGATAGATAGATAGATAGATAGATAGATAGATAGATAGATAGATAGATAGATAGATAGATAGGTAGATAGAACAAAATAGAACAGAGTAATAGAGCATAAAATGTTTGGCTCCAGAATGATTGCGGAAGCAGATATGGTGAAGTGAAGGCCCTGCTCCAGAAGCACAGCTGGTAATGCTATGCCTGTGGGAAAACTGCTGATGGTGCAGTGTGAGAAAGAGAGGACCATAAAACATGTGTTTGACTCCAACTCTCTTGCCAAGGGCCGTAAGTGTCCTGGTTTCTTCATAACTCATCCTAAGCTTCTCGGAAGTGAGAACATGACTCACAAGAAAGCCTGTGGTCTGTGTACCTGTAACGTGGTCTGGCTGAATAGAGTCGGAGTGTGTGGTGTCAGCTGGTGACAGCCGTGCCTGCCGCTGCAGTACCACCCTGCCAAGTACAGAGTGACCGCGAGAGCAGGAAAAAAGAAGAAGAGACCAGTTCTTCTGCCTCTGTTGAAGGCAATGCTCTAGTACCCTCTTGTGTTCACATATCATAATAATCACTCTGAACACTATATCACTCAAACATGTTTGATTTAAGATCTTTAAAAGAGTTACACTATATAACAGTCTGACTTGATGTTCACTCATATTCTTGGAAAATATAAATGGACTCATATAAATGGACAATGATATTAGACAAAATCAATTAGTCTTGTTTGCTAAGGTAAGCGTCTGTATTATCATTGCTCCTACTCTTCAAAGTTACATTAGAATGCATGCTGAGATTTGATGTTTTCTACAGATGTGACTAAATTGCAGATCTGATCTGTAAGATTTAATTGTTCAATGTTGCGCTTGAAATGAGGTCAGTAGCTTTACTCTGCAGTACTGCAGTCTGTCTTGATAGAACAGCTCTTCTCTTCTCTTCTCTTCTCTTCTCTTCTCTTCTCTGTATATTTACAGTAGAAATTATATTATTAATATTAATAATATATTAATAGTATATTAATATTAATAATATATTAATAGTCAGCTATTCAGGGTTTTGTGAAAAATGCATGCTCTGGATTTTGATATACTTGTCCTTTTGGGGATGCTAAATTGTGAAGGAATTTTTGATATCTCGAATGGTGGCGAGGAAAGGAAAATATGGTGAAAATAGGGGAACAGGAAGTGTCTAATATCTTTTGCACACTTTGTCTGATTTTGATCAATCTTCAGCAGTTTGTTCGATGAGGCAGATCGCATAGATGTGACTATTAGGAGTCAACGTTATAGCGCCACCAGCTGGCAGCAGGAAGTGTGTCATTTTCAAAATGCTTTGAAATCAGCCTCTCATTTTTACTCGATTTTCTTCATCAGAATAGTGTCAAAACATGGCAGATGTAAAACTGCTAATGGATTCTTGATATCTTAAATATGTTGCCATGGCAAAATGTCGAACTTGAATATTATTTTCAGGTGTTTTTAAGGCACTTATCATGCTTAGAATTTCATGAAACTCGACACACACATCAGTATTAATGATAGGTTGACACTGGCAAAAGCTCATAAATGGGCACTCTATGACGCCACAAAAGTGTGTGTGTGTGTGTGGGGGGGGTACATGTATTGTTCTCATCAACCCGGACAACTTTCTAATTCACAGTCATTAGCTACGACCAACAGGAACCAACTACCACAAAACCACAAATCAACTCTTTCTTGTTTTTCACTGGCAAAAATGTTATTTATATTTTACATTGGATATAATGAATTATAGTTCATAATATATGAACTTCATGATCCCCTGTTTGAGGAATACTGTTCTAGAAGGTGCTTTTTCAAGCTTGTGAACTGACTTCTATAAGATGTGATGCCTGAGCATAAACAAGAGGCTTAAATTGGGTTGGGTTAAATTTTTACATTACATTTTTAACCCAGAAGTTGGGTTAGTCCATATTTGACCCAAAGTTGGGTTGAAACAACCCAGCATTTTTTAGAGTGTACATTAGTTAGTATAGCCTCCACTGACCGGTCCATCACCCCTGCCTGTTCATCTTAGTTCAAGCTCCCCATCCCACTACTTTCTCTGCTGTGTTCCCTGCTGCAGCTTAATTGTTAGTCCATGCGATTGTTAATAATTCAATGTCAGCGCTGCTGCACTCTGGTCTGAGGCTGAGCGTGTGCAGAGCAGCGCTGGCTGATACACTCCTGCAGTCTGTGCTCTGACGGCTGCGCCACAGAGAGAGAGAGAGATACGACTGCAGAGAACACTGGGAAAATCAAATGCACCCTCATACACGCACCCAGGGGACAGCAGTCTCTGCCCACTCTATCTGTGTCCCTCTCTTCTGAGTCTAACACCTCCCCACATCTCTCATTCACACCCTGGATCTTCTCTTGCAGTTTCCTTAAAAGGGACGGATAGAAACCAGGATCATCCAGCCGTCTGTGTTTCTTGACTGAGAAAACTCAAGCTGGAGAAGAGAAGGTGGAAGATGGTGGAAGCAAGGCCAAGACGGACCCTTCGATGGCCGGACTGGCGGCTGTCTGTTTGCGTGCTGCTTTTGTGGATGTTTGGGATGGCCATGGGCCGCAGAGCTCCCAAAACCCCACGATGTCCAGCCACCTGCTCCTGTACTAAAGACAGTGCCTTCTGCGTGGACACCAAGGCCATTCCCAAGAGCTTCCCACCAGGAATTATCTCCCTGTGAGTACTGGAAAGATCACGTGTACCTATTTCTTCTCTCTTTTTTTTTTTGTTCATATTCAAAATAGGTGAAAGTTGCTCATATAAAATGACTATTTTCATCGACTTGCCTATAAACCATTTTCTCAGCAGCATAACATGGATTGTCTAGAGTAGATGATTAATAGGAAGGAGACAGTTAGGTTGGCCATTATGTCACCTGTCAAGTGGCGTCATTCCTTTAGAATTGTGACAAGTTTTATGTGATTATGATACAATAATAAAGAAGTCTGAACAAAAAAAAATAGAGCCCTATATTCCATATAGTGACTAAAAAAAGATTAAAAAAAGGACAAAAAACATTATAAAATAGTCATTTTGACTCTATATTGCCATATATATTCAAACCTGATATTTGTTAGTCACTGAAATGAATTTTTCACCTGTCAGAGCTGCAGTGGAGGGGAATTATTAGTGAGCAATAATAACTTCATTTTAGTCTGTCTATCACACAGATCTGTTTTATGGCTTGAGAAGTCTATAGTGCATATATAGTGCATGCTATGTAATGCAGAGTTGAATGGATTACTTTGAGTTTCGTATGCTGGTGAACTATTCCTTGTTAAACTGACTGGGCAGATGAACAGAAAGTAATTTTGCTGAGCTGATCGAAGGTGTGGTGAAGTCTAAATGCTGCTCTTTTTTAGTCAGCTTACGTCTGCTGTAGAGACATAACCACAGAAACCTCATCATATACACAGTTATTATCCTCAGGGAGAACATAACCGCAGATACCATTATTATTATTTCATCAACTGTCTCATGATTTTTCAAGGTTTTTCCTCTCCCTGTTTGTGTTTTATATACAATATTAGGTTCACTCAAGTTATCACACAATTCCATAGTATTTCATTAAATACTATTTGCATGCACGTCATTCATTTATGAAGACTTATGAAGAGTTTACTCATATTCATGTCCGTATTCTGAAGAACTTTCTCAAACTATAGATTTAATGTTAGCCGAGTAGTACTGTATATAGAGTTGTGCACTCTATAATGGTGCCCTTATTTTCAGACTGAGAGGGAAGGAAGATCTGTGTCCTACTTTCCAATAATTAAATCGTGAGATCCTTTCAGGTGTGCAGAGCAACTATTTAAGAAAAAAGGCCAAACATAACTGCTCCAAATTAGACTAAAATGACTTTTAACTATGTAAAGGATATATACATTGGGAAGAAGTGGTGCTTCTCCTAAATTATTCATCATAATGCTAGTGGTATACTTAGAGTTAAAGCCCCTAAATCTATTATATGTAAGTATTAAATATGAAATGCATACTCATCTCATGCTATGCACCCAAATGATACTTCAAATCATGAAGCTTGCTTGAAGTTTTTTGACTTGGGCTAAAGTAACCATAATAGCAGAACACCATTGGAACTACATATCAACATGATAAAAATCACATATAGTGCCTTGCAACCACAAAGAGATTCCCTAGCATCCACCATAAACATCTTAGCATTGTGGTGGTTTTGCACAGGAAAGCATCATTCATAATGTGTTCAGAAAATGTGAAAATCTAGTTTTGTGTATAAATGTTCACTCAAGGCAGGGTTTTAGAGACTTAAAATGAGAGCCTTCTGCAATGTGATTTTCAGATGTTCTGAAGAGACTTTTCTGAATTCATGAGTTTTTACTTTAAGATGACTGTAACAGCAACTATATTTGTGATGATGATGATGATGATGATAATGATAATGATTATGATGGTGGTGTTTGTGTTATTCTATCAGGACTATGGTGAATGCTGCTTTCACAGAGATTCCTGAAGGAGCTTTTTCCCACATGCACCTACTGCAGTTCCTGTAAGTACCAAATGCACAATAATCCACCTCCGCATTTTCTTATTATGGCCTGTGTGTGTTTGAAAGTGAAAAAAAGAGTGAGGATTGTAACGTTCGTCAGCTGCATGTCTGAGCAGTGTGTACTGTGATGTGTATCAGTGACAGACCCTCCATTTACAGACTGCCCACACTCACACAACAACAGTGTTTCTGTCCTCGCTCTGTGTGTGTGAGAAAGACACAAGAGAGAAGTTTGTTTTCAAATGACAGCATGCCAGTTCTTCAGTCTCTGAGACAGTAAACAAAATAGACACGTCCTGCAATATCAGTAAAATATATTAGTATCATACATGTAATGTTTAATTATATTATACAAATAAATAACATAAAGCAGTGATACTAGATTTGCATGGTGATCTTTCGGGCAATACTGTTTTCAAATGTTTGTGATCTTTTAGACACAGAGTTAACATATTTTTCTCTGTGTTTGCGCACAAATATGTACATTACAACTTCATAATTTGAAAAATTGACAAGCTTTTGTGCAACTCTCTGATCGGCAGTAATTGTGAAATGTTGTTGACAAGCATTTATGCTACTTTTTTTTTAAATGTGCATTTATGGTTTATTACACATTCTTACTGATGAAGTTGCAATTTATTAAATGTATTAACCTTAAATGTAATATTGAATAACACACTACAGTTGAAATGATAATCAAGTACTTTACATATGATTTAGGATGTTCGTCAACACGTTCAAATAAATGTACTTCTTTAAATCATGACAAAAGATTATTAAAACATAGCGATTTTAAAATACTTTAAGTTTTAATTTGACATTAGTGAGAAAAAGTGTACTTGGCTGTGTTTAGAAACATAATCGTGAAAATGTACCCTCTTTCAATACACTTAAGTGGCCTTTTATTTCAGTAATATTATATTATTTGCAAGTACAGATTTTTAAAAACATATTCTTAAGATTTGAAGTACACTACTATTTGACGTTTTAGTTCAAAGCATAAATAAAGATGCTTGATTACTGGACTCATTTTTTATTTTAAGGACTGTAGAGGACTAGGAGTGAAGTGCACAATGTGCTTATAATACTTGGAGCTCTCGATTTGGCCATCTTTGTTATTTCAGAGGGCTTACATTTAACAAAGGCTGTCTGTTTGTCATCTATATAGTACCTGTGTCTAAAATATATGAGAAATGTTCAGCTCGATGAAAGTGCACGCTTTTACCTTTGTCTCTTTCTCTTTTGTTCTGCACAGGCTGTTGAACTCAAACACATTCTCTCTGATTTCTGATGATGCTTTTGCTGGTCTTGGACATCTGCAGTACCTGTAAGTATGTTTCCGTGTTGATGGATGGATGGATGGTTGGATGGATGGAAGGAAGGATGGATGGATGGATGAATAGAAGGATGGATGGATGGAAGGATGGATGGAAGGATGGATGGAAGGATGGATGGATGGATGGATGGATGGATGGATGGATGGATGGAAGGATGGAAGGATGGATGGTTGGATGGATGTAAATAAATTTTTTAATGCATTACTTTTAAAAGTAACTTTCCTCAACACTGCATTTCTTTATATAACAGCAGATGTGACACCTCTTAAAAATGTTTAAATCAAATACTTTTTGAAAGCCACTGAGATGAATGGGAATATTAATAGCTTTCTCCAGGTACTGAGCGAGACTGTGCGTGTGCATGTCTGTGTCTCTCATCTTCATGCAGGTTCTGCAGTTTCTTCTGAGTCCTTCTTAAGATTCAGGTAGCGTTGTCTTTCAGATGAAAGCATTGGCAGCTCATTGACTGCAGAAAGAGAGTGAATGAGATAAAAGAGAGAGGGGGAAGGACTTGCTGTTGCAGAAAGCTTTTAGCATTAATGAAAACGCCCACAACCTCAGTGTCATTAAGCTAAAAGCTTTAACAAAGCAAATGTGGCAAGGTTTGCAGAGGGAGGCAGGCATCGTCTTCTTTAATGCTGTGACTCATGAATCCATCAGGGAACAGGCAGCATGCCCTCACATCCTTAGCGTTTATCACAATAAATATAGCAGGAGAAAATATGCATTTGATTAATATCCCTGTCCTAATCTTTTATCTTTCTCTCTGAAATGGCAAACAGCACCTAAATCATTTTAATGACTTGACCTGTAAATATCTTATCTACAAATATTTGTATGAGTTGTTGGCTGAATTAATTTACATGCCTTAAATGGTTCATTTAATTTCCATATTCTCTTTTTTTAACCATACTTCCTTACAGATTTATTGAGAACAATGACATCCAAGCCCTGTCAAAGCACACATTCAGAGGACTGAAGTCTCTGACACATCTGTATGTATTGCATCTACCTATAAAGTCATCAGTTATCAGTGTAATGATTCAAAAATAAAAATGTAAATAACTGAATAAATCCATTTGACGTACGCATTTAACAGTGTTAAAAATGCAACATTTAAATAGAATTTTATTAAGCATTTACAGTTGCTTTTTTATTCATTAGACAACTGAGTTGAAAAATGTCATCGGGCAGTTCACATGTAGGACTGTCCTCACTAAACTTTAATTTTTTATTAAAATGACATTTTAACACCATGTCTACACCGGATGCGACAGTTGTCACGTCGAGCCACGCCGCTTCCAGTGTAGCCAGCATCACTTATTTTAATGGGTTCTAGTATTTTGCTGCATCCGGTGTAGACACAGGTAACAAATAAATGAAGAAAAGCCAATTGGATTAAGACAAGTAAAAAAGTTCAAATAATATAATAAATAAACTATATTATTTTGTTTCATTGCTAAAATCATCTTAAATATGATTTAAATGAATAGTTTAAATATTAAGACATTATATTTTAACATTATTAAGGCCTACAGACTGGAAAATATCATTGTGCGACTTATACAGTGGTTTTCAGGATGGACAATACTTATAAATAAATTTCTATGGATACATTTTATCTGAGCTTTGTCTTGAGCAACCAAATAGTTTTTTGACACCTCTACTTCCAAAACAGTTCAGACTCATTTGGAACAGAAAACTTTTATATATGATCCACTCCACAATCTTGAATATTCAGAGAGTACATCACATACTAATGTGTTGGTTATTGTACCTTATAGATTTGAATGAAGAATGATGGGGTAAATTTGCAGTCCAACATGATAAATAGGTTATGTTATGTCTCTCCTTGTCAGGTCTCTGTCCAACAACAACCTGCAGGTTCTTCCCAGAGATCTCTTAAAACACCTGGACATCCTCACTGACCTGTATGTACCAGACACCCAGATATTCCCCTGTGAGGGACTCTTACAAAAACAAGCCTTTTCTTTGCATGTATACAAACCCATTTATACTGTATGTGAAAAATAGTAAGCATTAAATTATAAAGGCTAAATGTTTCCAAAATAAAATGATTAGCTTTTATTTAGCATTGATTGTACTAAAGCTAAATCAGCTTATTTAGAAATAAAAATTAAATATATATCAATCATGACAACTCTCGGAAGATTTTAGCATGGTGATGGATATGACAATGTTAATGTATTTGGTCTTGGTGGAATAGATCTGCTACGCTGCTGCTGAATTGCTGCTGCTGTTGGTTCTTGCTGTAGTTGTAGATTATTGCTGCTGCTGCAAGCAAGTACAGGAACTTGCTACTGCCAATGCATACGGCGTTACGGTGCTGTGAGTATTTAAGACATACTGCTGCTGCACAAATAGCATATAAAATAACCCATAGCAGATCTATGCAGGTGGAGCTGGTGGAGAGTTTCAGAGGAACTCTGAAAGCGCGCTGCAGGAATCTCTAGTGAATGCTAGCCAGCCATATAAATGCAAGGCAGTAAGCTCATTGGCTGCATATGCAGCATGAACCAATCAGCTTGTGCCAAGTCGTTTAACTCTCTGAATATCATCGGTTACGTTAACCACCCGTCGCCTGCGCCATCTAGAGTTTCATGACTGAACTATATCTTTCTTCACAAAACTCAAATGTTCCACAGATCCCAATTTGAAAACCACTCACAGATCAGAGTCAACAGGTGAAAATTCGTATATTTTTTAAATCTCTTTTGTACCTTTTTATTTCTGTCTCCAATGCAGAGACCTGCGAGGGAACTCGTTCCGTTGTGACTGTAAGATCAAATGGCTGGTTGACTGGATGGAGAAGACCAACACCTCAGTTCCCGCCATATACTGCGCCAGTCCTTTTGAATTCCAGGGCCGACGCATCCATGACCTCACACCGCGTGACTTCAACTGCATTAGCGCAGGTAAGCCAGTTCAGGTCTTAACAAATGGCAGTTCAGACAGGTGCCTGGAATCTGAAAGTAATATTTCTATATCTGTAAAACATATGTACTATACATTGACAAAAGTATGTGGACATCGCTTTACTATGATCACGTGAAAGGACCATTAAGCTTTCAATCTTTGTTTAAAATTTTCTGGAAAGTTTTAATTAGAATAGTTTGCAAGAGTGTGATTTTAAACACAATGAGGCTGTGAAAGTGGACTAGTGAGTACATGAGTTTTACTGTTTGGCATTATAGCATTCAATGTCCCCGACGATCTAAAAATGCATTTCTAATGCTCGGATCTTTAGGAAGGCTATATATGCGAAGGTTTTTGGAGGTGCAGATTCTTTGCATCCACTGACATCTGAGTTTGAAGGTCTTAGTTGATGTCTTGTGATTGATGAACAGATTGATGAGTTGTTAAGAACACTCCTCCTTGATATTATATACGGCGATGACGCATGTTAAGTGCGTGTCGAGGAAAATTGTGACGTCACAATTCTTCCCATTTCAAATGCTGGCATTTCAGAATGGTAGCAATGCATAATTCATGTTGTAATCTGGAGAGGTAGTTTTGAGTTTTGAAACTTGCATGTTTGTTTTTTATTGCAAATTAACCTCTTACATGTGTGAATATCAAGAACATTTTGATACTCCATTTCATGACCCCTTTAAAATATGGTGGATTAAATGGGTTAAAGAACTCACAATATACACTAACTCTGATATGAAATGTTCTTCTAATCCAGATTTTGCTGTATATGAGACATACTCGTTCCAGTCTCTATCTGTGGAGTCATACGAGTTTAATGATGACCAGTACGTAGTTTTCGCTCAGCCCAACACTGGAATCTGCACTGTGTTCATTTGGGATCATGTGAACATGCTTTTCAAGACACATTACAACATCACATGTAAGTCAAAAATTACAAAACAGAGTTGTTGTTTTTTTATTACTTTTATTTAATAGAACCAATACAAATAGAAATTTCCATAGAAAATTAAAAAATGATTGTGACTTTAACAGTAAAATACTGTAAAAATTCTACAGTAAAAACCTGTTAATTGGCTAACAGTACGTTTCCATACTATATACGGTGAATAAATGTAATTACATTTAATGTAATTTTACAGTAAAATACTGTTAAGATTACAGGTTTTGGAAGTGAAAAAGAAAAAGTCATTTTATAATTTACAGTGAAAAACCGTAAAGTGACACTCGCAGAATTCCCTGCATGATACTTCATATTTGATGGGGGGGTTTTCTTGGTTGAAATGACTGTTTCTTAGTTTTTTCTTATCAGTTGTGTACATTTGGGTTTAATCTTACATCTAATGTTGTTAAATTAATGTTTATTGCATTATTTCAGTATCGTGTGTCACCATGATGGTGTTTAGTGTTTGTGTGAATGACACAGTGCACCTTCTATATATAATTATTGCCCTCCTCGGCTCGTAGAAAAGCTGTTTGTGATGAGCTTTGGTTCATCATGTGACTTTCTCATCACCACCTGTTTTTGGTGGTTATCAGTGCATTACAATGGTTCAAAACAGATATTAGTACTTCAATATGTTGGTTTATTAACATTACATCAGTTAATGAAATACATTTTTTACTGTGAATTGAAGTTGTCTGTAAAACCTAAAATGTTGCTACCATATTTTTTTATGGTGAAGTTCTGGCAACCACAGCTGCCGGTATTTTACCGTAAATGTCACAGATTTTTTTTTTCTACAGTGTGGAGGTATTGTCTGAAGCAGTGGTTTCTCGATCCTTTTACCCATTGTACAAATCCTATGTGTTGTACAACTGGATTTAATCTATTCAGAAACTTAATTGAATGAAAGTGTAAAGTAGACTATTATTTCATTAATATCATCTGCAAGTAGTTTATTTTTTATTTTTTATATACATTTAAGAATTGAAGTACACTACAAGTGCACATTCAGTATAATTAAGTGCACTTCTTTTTCACAAGGGAAGGCTCTGAATATTTCAGAGGTTGGGAACCTCTGGAGTATTCGATTTCACTCAACATTAAGAATCAATACTCAAAGTGCATCAAGATTCATTTGTGTTATGTGTTCAAAACGTAGTTACATTCAGTTACTAATGTACTAATGTATATGCATTCCAGCTCGTTCTGCTGTGTATTGTAAACCTGTGGTTATCAACAACACTCTCTACATGGTTGTGGCTCAGCTCTTTGGAGGATCCCACATCTACAAGTATGTCTATGGACACTCAGATATTGTCTGACAATCCTTATATTCGTGTATAATCAGAATTAACCCTAAATATTTTTTTTTTTTTTTACTTTTTTTTTTTCTAAAGGTGCATTTAGTAGTTCTTTAGTGTTAGCATTTCTGTTCTTCACACACTTTTAGTATACTGATACCACAACAGTCTTATCATCAGTCACTGCAGTGCCATCTATTGACGTGGATCATCATGATCATCAGTTTTATGTCAATTATACTTAAACTTGTGAGTTTTAGAGAGTGATCTACACAATAACGATTTCCTTTATCTGTCCAAAAAACTACTTTTTCATCGGTTCTTGGGATTTCCTTTGTCATCAAATCTATCCACCCAGCCACAATTGTGAGATATAAATACAGAATTGTGAGATATAAACTCGCAGTTCTGAGAAAAATGTCTGAATTGCGAGATATAAACTCAGAATTCTGACATTTTTTTCTCACAATTCCAAGTTCACATTTTACAATTCTGAGTTTATATCTCACAAAAACTTCTTTTTCTAGCAATTCTGACTTCCTCGCAATTCTGACTTTTTCTGAGAATTGCAAGATAAAAAAAATAAAAAATATTTACAAGATATAAACTCACAATTCTGATAAGAAAAGTTTACAACAGTTTGAACCATTTATATCTGGCAAAAGCAACATTTTGTCTCACAATTCTACCTTTCTTCTTGCAATTATGCGAAGAAAAGTCTGAATTGCGAGATATAAGCTCAGAATTCAGATTGTTTTTTTCTTCCAATTCAGAGTTTACATTTTACAGTTATGAGTTTATATCTCACTATTCTGAGGGATTTTATTCCTTGGCGTAAACTTGCAATCGAGAGTTCACAACTTGCAATTCTGAGGAAAAAAGTAAGAATTATGAGATATAACCTTGGAAATGTGAGAAAACCAGTTGCAATTACCTTTTTAAAATTTTTATTCCATAGTGGAAATAAACTTCCATAGAGGGTGACCTGCACCACATAGCCCAATTAAAACACTATTTTATAGAAAACTATAATAAGTACAGTCTTCATCTCATGTGAGTGTACACCATTCAGTTGACTCTTCACAAAAACACAGTTTATTTCTTAACATGTAAAACATTTTAAATTAGCACCAAACCACTGAATGCAAATGTATTTAATATCTTGTTTCAATATCTCAAGGAGTTCGATTTACATAATATCTGTTTCTATGTGATCCTCATCATCATCATGACATCATTGTGACATCCTGTTGTTGTTGTCAGATGGGAGGAAGGTCCATTGCGTTTCGTCAAAATCCAGGACATCGACACCACCCGTGTTCGTAAACCCAACTTCATTGAGACTTTCCAGATCGAAGGAGACTGGTATTTTGCTGTAGTTGACAGCTCCAAAGCCGGTTCCACCAGCCTGTACCGCTGGAACAGTAACGGCTTTTACTCACACCAGTCCCTCCATCCCTGGCACAGAGACACTCACATCGACTTCCTAGAGGTGGACGGCAAACCTCGTCTCATACTCTCTAGCACCTCGCAGCCCCCGGTGGTGTATCAGTGGAACCGCAGCCAACGCCAATTTGAGTACCATTTGCAGATGACCTATTCAGGTGACGTGCAGATGGTGAAGCACTTCTGGGTACGAAAAGTGCTGTATCTCTGCCTCACCCGCTTCATAGGAGACTCGAAGATCCTGCGCTGGGACAACCAACGCTTCGTAGAGATTCAAACCCTGCCGTCACGTGGCTCAATGACCGTGTATCCGTTCAGCGTCGGAGTGAGGCAGTACCTTCTGCTGGGCAGCGATTATTCGTTCTCTCGAATCTATCTGTGGGACGACCTCACTCAAAGATTCCAGCCCTTCCAGGAACTCAACATGTTTGCGCCTCGAGGCTTCAGCCTGGTCTCTGTTGACAATAAGGATATTCTGTTAGCGGCCAGTTTTAAAGGAAAGACCATGGCCTACCAGCATCTAGTGGTGGACCTCAGTGCCAAATAGGCAGCCGGAGAGGTTTTACTGGGGTTTGAGGTTGTAAGTGCGTAAATGCCAAGAACTGCAAAATGGCTACACCTTTCTACATCTGCATTCACCCATGAATTGATTCTGTCATTGCTAAATACTCATACATTAGTTACTGTAAGTGTAAGCCATCATCAACTCAATAAACATGTTCAATCTTTAAACTGATTACCCATTTGGGTCTTTAAAGCTAAATAAATATGTACTATATGCATTGCAATGATGACATGTTTCTCCAATAGGATGTGAATTATATTTTTGGACAGATGTCATTCCCTGATTCATGTATCATCATAGCATGAACATGTCTAAGAATATTATGTGTTACCAAGAGAAATAACAAGTTTCATTTTAGTCACTCAATAGAGCTTGACTGTTAAGGCTGTGCTTTAAGGACTTTCTATGCAGATGATTCTCTGAAAATGTTGAATTATTGTACTTGGACAACAATACACCTAATTTACTAACTGGTAGGTCATTATAAACTATCTGCTGTCATCAGCATGCATTGCAGTAAATGACTGTGGTGGAAATGTCATTTATGATGTCACAAAATAAAGTTAAAATATCTGTATATCTTGCACAGGAATTAATTTTCTTTTTCCCAGCTTGGAGTGATTATTTCTCCAACCTTGTGCCTATCCTTCTGCTCCCTCTCATTCCTTTTTGTCCATAGCCGTGCATGTACCTCATGCCAAAGATGAAGAGCTCTTCCTTTTCTGCCTCCTCTGTCTTCATTTTAGCGCAATCTATGGTGCCAATATTCAGACACCATATGATCATTCATCGTCGCCGTGTAGGCAATATGTTATATATCCTCCTGAGAACCAGAAAAAAAGCTTTTAGAATTTAGTATTTTTTCATGTCATTACATTGTTTAGAGCAGTGGTTCCCAACCCTGGTCCTTGAGGCACCCCAACACTGCACGTTTTGCATGTCTCCTTTCTCTGACG